TGACAGGATCTAGCGTCGTCATGGAGTTTGATGGCGTTTAGTATCTAACTTTGACACATTTTGTCATATGTTTTCAGAAATACTTAGTTGGAAAATGCCAGGTTTTGCCATGATATGGAGAAAACCAGCGTGCCCCATGTATGTACATACGCAGAACGCCTAGTTTTCTAGGGTCGCACACATAAATGTGGGCTCCTGTACAAAAAGTAGCATACCTAAGAATCTTGAAATTCAATGGCCGGCATACGAGGACATATTTTTGGTGGGTCACAATGTTGCGTGTCCCGCCCCCTGACGAGATCCTGGATCCGCCATTGGGCGCAGGAGAGACCGTCATCTGAGGCGCGCTCTCTGCTTTCGTCAGCGTAAAACCTGCAGCGCTGAATGACCGAGAATGACGAATGCGCCGCCAAATTCTGTATCAACCAGCGACCGTTAGAGGCCATGTGTGTATTTCTGCATCCACGTCTTGTTTGGCCCTGCGAGGCTTCAGTGGAACCCGTCTGTATATAAGTGATGCATGGCTTCCCCCAACCGCTCAGAGTAGGCTGGCTTCGCGCTCGGCTGATGATCCCTGTGAATTCCATTTCATACTGCTGATATAAAGATGCCTTCAAAGAGATAATGCCGACACCCCAGGCAGCAGAAGATGCCTTCGAATGTTATTTCATTCCGAGGGGCTGCCCAGAATTTACCTCTCTTGTGTAATGATCGGTCGCCTATGTATGGGCGAAGACAGCGCACTGTCGAGAACATGTTGCTTTGGTCTTTCGTTTATTTTCTTTCCAAGCACAAAGGCAGCTCAGCGTTGTGCCACGCTGCGTCATGCGTTGGGCTGACATGACGTCTGCGGTTCAATGAGTGCTGTCCTCCGTGCTTCCAAACACGACTGCTGCGACGATCTGAGTTGGACATCTCGCACAAGACACGGCAGCTTGTTCTTGGGGCAGGCGCGGTCTGGATCCGACACGGTAATCTGTTCCTGGGGCAGGCGCGGTTTGGATCCGACACGGTAGCCTGTTCCTGGGGCAGACGCGGTTTAGATCCGACACGACAGCTTGTACCTGGGGCAGACGCGGTCTGGATCCGACACGGTAGCCTGTTCCTGGGGTAGGCGCGGTTCGGATCGGACACGGTAGCCTGTTCCTGGGGCAGGCGCGGTTCGGATCCGACACGGTAGCCTGTTCCTGGGGTAGGCGCGGTTCGGACCCGGCACGGTAGCCTGTTTCTGGGGCGGGCTCACCCGACGCGGCCATCCTTGCTTATTTCATTTTCATTTTATCCTGCGTCTTAGCGACGTCCCGTTTATTCGGGGCGAGCTGCACGCGCCAGCCATGAGTGGGCTGGCGCCCTATTACATCAGCCCTCGAATGATCACTTCTGGTCGAAGAAACTCTAATCTAAACCAAACCAAACCAGATCAGCCAAGCAGACCAACCAAACCAGACCAACGAGACCGGACCAAATCCGACCCGGTATTAGAGCTCAGCTGTCAGCCTCCGTGTCTCTCCACTCGTTGAATGGGCCCATGAGGTCACGGAGAGTTCAGTGCGCATGCGCGTCGCAGCGAAGCTGTGCACATGACATATGCCCGTAACGGGGAATAACAATCATGCATCCGTCAATCATTGATCTATACAGATATATGCATATACATATATATATATATATATATATATATATATATATATACAAAAGCGTGCCTGGGTGTGGGTGTGAGAGCCACTAGGTGTTTAAATGACGTTCTACAACAGCGGTTTGCCCCGCAAAACTAAAGTCTAGATCCTTCCGGTATCTGCGCTATCGATTTTTTTAGCGTTCGCCATCTGCTCCAGACCAGGAAGCTCTGCGGCCGGTGGCAGTGGCCCACGCCACGGGTCAGGTGACGTCAGAGGGTGGAGCGTATGGTGCCGAGCATTGTGGCATGCTGAGCTTTCGCCGTAACACTGCTGTTGACCAGGCGTTTCTTGATCGTACGGTGGGGTTAGGGTTAATGCAACAGGCGCTGCCCAACGTGGGTGCCGATACCAGAAATTCTCCAGTCAAAAAGTTTAGTCTAAATCTTTGAAAAAAACTTTCACTTCAAACCTGAATTTGGTTACATTCAATGACTGAATCTGCATTCTTGGCAAAGTATGGTCTCAGTGATATTGTGTAATTAAAGATCAACGGCTGTCAACAGCTGTCGAAAAGGGATGTCAAGAGCATTTTTCCTACATGTCATTCATTTGCTGATTTTTTAAGTCGTAGGAGCTCTTAGGCCTCACAACGTGTTAGCCCTGGCCATTTCAGTGTGCACTGCAGGAAAAGTTGGCTTTGACTAGACAAAGTCACCTCGCGAAAAGTGCTATTTCGATATGGTTCGCCTGGAAAGTGCGGCAAGCTGAAAAGATACGTCAGACATGTATATGTGAAACCGTTTGTTATTTTCAATGCATTGTGATATGCATGATATATGATCTCAAACTTGCGACTTTTTTGCCCCTTTCCTCCTTTCCTTCTATTTGGAGTCTTGTTGTTAAATGTGTTAGGCGTAAAACGTCTTAAAGCGATTTTTAATGCGTCGTTGGAAAGCCATGCGTGTATCACTGGCACATTGTTCTCTTTCTATCTTAGTTAGAAAAATTATTCGGTGTGGTTTAATAAGGAGTGCCTATATTTAGGTATGTACATCTTGTTGAGCCTTTCGCGGCGAAAACATGAGTGGCAGTTCTAGGACCTTGAATATGAATTATATGTAGGTACGCTGACGAACAAAAGCCTAACTGTGCAAAACAAGAGGAACAGCGTGGTGATTGTAATATTTTTCAAATGATCTTAGAAAAGCAAAACGCCACGACAGACAATTGAAAGGCTGACAATGGCGTATTCGCAATGGATGTCAACAAATTCGGTCGGCACATGAAAAATTCAAACGGCAGGCAATGACACGAGCATAGAAGATACTCACACAATGGAATGTCGTATATAATAAATCAGAATGTGTGTCTTAAAGACTTGAAATTCGTTCGGCCTCTGCTAATTTGATAACTATCAGTGGTCTGCAGTTTTCTTCTGCTGGAAACTTTGTTCACGGCTTTACTAACGTTTTGTACAGTTGGATGTTTATGCTAGTGATTGTTAGTGATTGTCAACTGGTTATGGTGAAATTGTTAGTGATTGGTTGTGATTTTTTGTAAATGATTCAGGTAACGAAGTATCTGAAAGATGCATCATAATATTAAGACCCATCCAAAAGCTTTAAATGGCGCTACCTTGGCACTGAATGACCTGATATCACCATTGAATGACAATAGACTTGATTCATTTTACGACAGTCCCGAAGGTCCATTTGATGTGGATTCATGACTGTGTTGGATGTGACCTCCATCTCTAATGGCCCTTGCTAGTTGGACAGGCACAAATAAAGCTCACAATATGGCCAAACCCCAGCCGCAAGCCGTAAGCAGAAGCCGAGCGGTTGGGTATGCGGTACCGTAGCTGCCACTGCTTGCCTGTGTCGGTGAAAATTTGGCAGTAGCGAGAACAGATTGGTAATACCATTTTCGTGTAACAAATCGCGAGTACGTCACACTGTCTGACAAAAATTGCCAAAGCAGCGCCTTGCGCCGTAACCGCCTTCGGGAAGTTTCTGCATAGTTTTAAACGCTTAAGATTCCAGGAAA